AAGGGTATAAGTAGGAGTAACGAAGTAGGTTGTTAGAAAAGTATTTAATGAGGGCTTAGTAGGTAATTTTTGACAGTTGCAGGGGAGGAGTCATGGAGGGGGGGGGGGGATGAAACCCTGTTAACAGTTTAATTGATACGCTTTCCTGAAGAAGTGAGTTTTCAATTCGTTTTTAGAAGGAATGGAGACTGGGTGATGTCCAACGGAAAAGGGAAGGGAGTTATTGTTTCCTTTAATAATTATTATTATTGCCATTTATATAGCGCCAACAAATTCTATAGCGCTTTACAATATTATGAGAGGGGGGATTTAACTATAAATAGTACAAATACAAGAAAACTTACAGGAACGATAGGTTGAAGAGGGCCCTGCTCAAACGAGCTTACAGACTATAGGAGGTGAAGTATGAAACACAATAGGACAGGAGATAGCAATCAAATAAGGTGGGAGTGAATCAGAGCTGGAGGAGAGAGTAGAGTGCTGCCCTTTAGGAGAGAGCAAGAGACAGGTATGTGAGGTAGAGGTTACTCTGGGAGGCCATAAGCTTTCCTGAAGAGATGGGTTTTAAAGGACCACTATAGGCACCCAGACCACTTCAGCTTAATGAAGTGGTCTGGGGGCCCGGTCCATCTAGAATTAACCCAGCCTGCTGTAAACATAGCAGTTTCAGAGAAACTGCTATGTTTACATATGGGTTAATCCAGCCTCTAGTTGCTGTCTCATTGACAGCCGTTAGAGGCGCTTCTCACTGTGATTTTCACAGTGAGAAGACGCCAGCGTCCATTGGAAAGCATTGAGAATGACGTCGGAATAGGGAGGAGAGTCCCCAGCGCTGAGGGAGCCCGGCGCTGGAGTAAGGTAAGAATTTAACCCCTTCCTCCCCCTTCAGCCTGGCGGGAGTGGGACCCAGAGGGTGGGACCCTAAAGAGCCAGGAAAACGAGTTTGTTTTCCTTGCACTATAGTGGTCCTTTAACAATGCTCAGTAAATATAAAGCATATTATAGCAGTGCATAACATAGGCTTTTTAGGCAAGTTCAGAATGCCAAAGATAACATAAAACAAATGTTCAAATTAACAGCAAGCAAGGTTATATATAGCAAGTAATGAGTCTAAAATAAGCGTAGTCCATTTAGGCATTTAAAGAAAACAAAGAGTATGCATATGAATCGAAGAGAAGACGCCATACATTTTGCAGATATCTAGCTTTGAGTACGTACAAGCATAGTAGGGAACGGTCTGTAGTTTGTACATGACATAAATTACATTTGCCTACGCAGAGGCTTAGCAGATTGGCAAAAGAGCATTGCACAATAGTAAATACAGAAAAACAAGACAAAATAACTAAACCCAATATAATTCAGGAGACAGCGTGTGACGATTCAATTGTTGGCAGTATGTAAGCAGCAAAGAAGAAGGTAGTGTAGCGATATAGTCTTGCATCAGGTATTGCAGAAAGAAAAAAACAAAAACGTATAAAATGTGCTAACGTATGGCACATGCATATATACATACATATATATATATATTTGTGCTCAGGACAATAAAAGCCGTAAGTGTAATTGATACCTTATCATACCAGCAGGGGTATGTATAATTCGGTTGAGGTGTGCCGAAACCGACGTATAGGTAGACCTGTAATTAAAGTGGGCCCACCAAGAAAGGTAGTTTAAGTAAAATAATAATTTAATAAAGGTGGAGTGGTGGGAGGGACTCAAAACGGAACGAATGCCTAGGAGGAGTCTAGTGCCGATGGGTGAGTATTTATATCAGCACCAGCCCCTCCCACAACTCCAGGCTCCGCCTTTACATTTGTGCTCAGGACAATAAAGCCGCAAGTGTAATTGATACCTTATCATGCCACCAGGGGTATGTATAATTCGGTTGAGGTGTGCCGAAACCGACGTATAGGTAAACCTGTAAATAAAGTGGGCAAAAGATGTATGCCAAAAGATTTTATTCATTCAACAATAACTTAGTTCAACATAACATCATAATGCCAAGTGTTGGAAAGCTTGTCTGATTTCACTCTCAGGTTGTGGAATGTACCTACAGTATGCTGTAGATTTCCAGCGCCCCAATGACTTGATAATATGAGTAGGTATGTTCCTGTATGAGGCTGCTGAAGCTGCTCCAATACGGAAAGAATGTCCAGAGTATCGTGAGGGGTTAAGGCCTAACCTCATCAACAGGATTCTAACATAAAGCATGAATTTGCTTGTTGTGAGGATGGTGCCCTGTAAGGTGAGTAACGGGTGATTTGTAGGTGCTTGTAAATTAGTCAGATAAGTATCAAATGTCTTTACGGGACTGTTTGCCCAGGTTGACTTGTCTTTGTATGTAACAGTGAGAGGAGGGAATGGTCTTCCTATTTAATTATATGGCCAACGTTAAGACAGGACATAGAGTCGGTAGTATGAATGGTAGTAAATTCTCTGGGCCTAAGGAACCCGTAAAAAGCTAAATATATAGCGACTTTTAAGGTCTAATTGGTTTTGGGTTCAAATAGAGAGTTATCCAAAATGTCTGACAGTGATCTGAACACATTCCCAGTAATAGGCAGTCTTTGTGGTGCTAGTGTTGTACTGCTCCTCTGGATTCCTTTTAATAAAGTCTTGATTTGGTAGGAGGATAAGAAAGTCTGTTTGTTTGGAAATAGTACTAACATGTGGTGGTGTAACCTTGTGAGGTAAAGTTTAATTGTATTGTAGGACAAATGTAAATTGAGGTGGTAAAAAGAGGCAAACGCTACCAAAGATTCCATTGCGAATATGTCTATCACCTGGAAGACCCTAGTAAATTTTACAAAAATATTAAGAGCCCGTTTGTATGTACGCCTGGTGTTTTCAGACATAGCTCTCTGTGACAGCATTGTGCTTTGCTCTAGCAGTTGATTTAATCCAATATGGGGTCTTGGAACTGAGATGCCGGAGTTGCTACCGAGGGGGCATTGTGATGGAGTAAGCTAAATTCCTGAAAACGGAAGCGGGACAAATGGTCAGCTGCTGCGTTCTGAACACCCGGCACGTGTGTGCAATACAAAAAGAACTGATGAGTTGCCGCAAGCCAAGTTAATCATCTCACGAAACTCATAATGACTAGAGAGGGGGACCGGCCTTTGTTAATAATGTAGCATGTTGCTTGGTTATCTGAATAACAATGGACTATGTGTCCGGACCAGGAGTGACCCCATGTCGCTGCTGCAGCCATGATAGGGTATATTTCCATCAATGCTTAAGTCTGATCAAAGGCCTCCAATGTTCTGGTCTCAGGTGGCCAACTGCCCCATAACCATTGGTCACCACAGATGGCCGCAAAATCAGTAGAAGCCGCTGCATTCGACCACAGCTTTGGGGATCGGGGAAAAGTGGAGGTATGAATATGGACTTTCCATTCCATTGGAATAAAAATTCCTGCCACATGCGTAAATCAGCTGTGGCCTGGGTATCTAGAGAAACCTCACTGTCCTCGGAGGGCAGGTTAGGCAATAGACATAACAGTCTAAAAACAAAAGACCTGCCCTGCGGTATGATTCTCATGCCAAAATTCAATGATTCCAACAATGACTAACTCCTTCTGACTACAGTAACCCCGTCGCAAGTAATCACTAATGTCTGCCAGGATACATTGAATTTTGTCACGTGGTAAGCTGGCTTCCATAGCTACCGAATCAAGTTCAATACCAAGAAAATTGACCATAGTGTTAGGACCTATAGTTTTGGAGAGGGAAATAGGGACACCCAACCTCCCAAACAGCTGCTTGGCGACATGAAGACTTAAAGGTGGGTTATGATTACTCTCTATAAAGAGGAAGTCATCCAGATAGTGTAGCACTGATGGACATCTACACGAGTTCAAGAGTAACCAGCATAAGGCCTACGCGAAGGTGTCTAATATTCTTTTTGGGCTACTTTTAGACCCAAACGTTAACCTGTCGAAAAAGTAATACTGGGTTCTCCATTTAATACCATGCAGATGCCACAGAGACGGGTGAATAGGAAGCAGTTTAAAGGCGTTTACAATATCTGTTTTGCTTAACCATGCTCCTACCCCCGCCGCTATGATGGTTTGCACAGCGTCATCTTCAAGGAGAACTCTTCCGATGGACTTAATGAATTCAAACTGGGAATGGTGGAGGAGTGAGGAGCTGACCGATCAATAATCAGTCTTTTCTTCAAAGAGTATTTCCCCGTTACAATACCTATAGTGTTTGTACGCCAACTAGAGAATGGGGGTGTGGAAAAGGGACCTATGATAACACAGGAACTGAATCAAGGCTTTAACAATGAATCCACAGCACCTGGGTCGTTGACAGCAGATAGTAAGTTTTTACATTCGGTAATACCGGGTGGTAAAGCAATAATACCTGTGTGAAAGCCCTCCGAAAATCCCGAAATCAAGAAGTCAGTGAACTGTGGTGAAGGGTGAGATGCTAAAAGTTGAGACAACTGGATGATATCAACAGATGTGAAATACTGTTTAGAATGTAGTTTATTAGGGCACATGGTTTTGGAGTAAGCACGGAAACATTGGGTACACACAAGTAACAACCTACAAGCACTAAACCCGAAGACCCCAGCATTGAAATTGTTACAAATCTGGGATTTCCCAAGGAATACAATAGGCCTGCCATGCTTATCCTTTATGACCCTCTGAGATCTTACAGGCAATCCAGGGTTTTGCTGAAGTGTGACCAAGATGTCAGCGGGACAGAGGTTAGCTGACGTCCTGAGGCCGGCAAAATGCCTGCAAAACAACTCTGTATCCAGCTTACTCCAATTAATCACTGTATTGAACTGGGCCAGAGTTGCTGCCGCCTTAGCTGAAAAAGTCCTATGGTAATCATAGAAGGCATATCCACCGGATTTAGGCCCCAAGACCAGCTTGTGCATGTATGTATCCAATTCTTCTCTTCTCTGAGGCGAATTGGTACATACTACAGCTCTGTAAATCCCAAACGCCAGTACAAACTCTGGAATGGTCAGTTTTTTTTTTACTGAGTCTGGGATCCCTGGCTTTGAGAACTACTGATAGGTCCCCATAAGCATAGGTCTTGTTCTCCACTATATCCTGGGCAGCAATAAGGAATGATATCAGATTCACATCCTTACCGTCCAGGGTATCTTTACGTAAATGAAGAGGCACCATGTGGGCAGGTGTGATCATTAGCGTATCTAACTGTGATACCGGGGCCACAACATTACCCTGTAGAATTGCTGTAGCGGCTGCTAAAGATGTAGCACTGTACAGTGGTGGGTTAGTTGTTGTATGGCCTGACTTTAATCTGTCGATCCTATCTCTGATCTGGTCCATAAAGGATAGGAGAGTGTTCATCATGGTCTGTAAGTCAGGCATGTTGCTGGTACCACTAGACCCTTCTCCTGTGTTGTCGTCGTCACGAACACACCTGACTCCAAGAGTGCGCGTGACGTAGTTGTGGTGGTGAAAGGGTTAAAGTTCACTATTTGTCTGCACTAGACCAGAAATAATGACAAAATCCCCCCTTTAACACCACCCACACTTAAACATAATAATATAACTATTACTATTTTAACGCTGCCACCACCAAGACAATTTATAAATGGGGTGCCTTGGTCCCCCAGGTAAATCAATAATAAAACCCACCAAATATTACTCAGCACAATATTTAAGGAATTATAAAAATACTAACTAGTCTCTTCAGGTAACGTGATTCTTAACCAGACAAAGGCAAAACTTAATAAATGAATGTTTATTATGAGCAAAAGATAGTCACAGTGCATATAACAATATATGATAAACAAATTATTTACACCAACAACAGATAAAAACAAAAAGGATAAAATACAGAAGTCCTAATTACTCACTTAGGTTTTCAAAGTACAACTTCTGTCCAGGGGGTCTCTGGCAAGGAAAGATGGTGACTCACTCAAAATTAGATCTTGGCCCCAAGCAAGTACACCAACACCCTTCAGAATCACAGGAGATATACCCTATGAATTGCCATGCCTCATCCAGGGGTGGAGCAATAGGGATACTAAGTGACCACCTCCTTTGTTCCAGAAACCAACAAGCCACATACAGACTTTTGGTTTTATCTCTTCTACTGTACTTGCCACAGAAATAATAATTGCCTCTATGAATTTGTTATTGTTTTCCCATTCCAAAGACATGTTGCACGCCCCACCCACGATCCAATAGGATGGACATCACAAGTCCTGCCACACAAGTTGTGCAACTCATGTTTGGGCTTAATTAAAAGATTGGGCTTGTCCCATTCCAAATATAATAAAAATGAGGCTTAATTATTAACCTGTGGGTAAGTATGAATGTTTCACTTGGATAAGATACTGGAACACAAGGATCTTCATGAAACGAATCCCATTACCATTTCAAATGATTGAACTATCCTTTACAAGGTACATGCCAAATGGATGAAGAGACATTCAGACTTTTTCCAAGTGTAGAACCTCACACCTTGCAGATACTTGATTACTCCACATCCATATATTAAAATCCTTTTCACATTGCTATGCCATTCACACTACCCCTTCTGTCATCTGACCTCTGTGGGGGTCCCAGCTTCAAAAGATGTAACCCCTGTTGACCTCAGCAATAGCATCTCTGTAATTTGTACATTAACGGATGATATTCCATAGTGTAATAATAAATTATACACCCTTGCCGTGACACCTCCCCCAAATAAGAGACGCAATGGGAGAAGGCTCACATGCCTCTACCTTGTGTATCAACACTTGTTCCTTTTTGCCTCCACCTCATATACTCATCTTTTTCATAACTCTGATTCTACATGAATGGGGTAGCCCTCACGTGTTCAAACACCTCCCCCAAAAAGGCTTGCCCTTTGTCCCTAAGCCATATCACAGCCATATCCACAACACGCATGCCTGATTCGCCTGTTTCCATCTCCCACTGCGCTCTGATCACATCTCTCAGGCCACACCCACTGTGCCCGTGTAGTAGCTCTAAGGGGAAGAAACCAACTGATTTCTGCAGTACTCCCCTGTAAGCACACACAAGATGAGACAGAGGACACTCCCAGGGTACCTGCACTGTATCCACACTCCTTATCTGTTTTATTTTGTGGTCTGTCTGCTGGGCTCGCTGCACCTTTTTACTCTGAACCTTTGGTTCAGAATCAAAAAGTTGCTTAGAGACAGACGCCTTCTCCTGAGCTGGCTTGGGTGTATGTTGGAGGTGTGATTGTGATATGCTGACAAGGATGGTGGTTCCCCCATCAGTATGTTCCCCTGCGACCATTTTCCCTGGACCCACAGGTTGAGACTGTCCATGCCCCTCACTTTGGGCAGGCCGTGGACGGGTCCCCCTTTCTACCGATGGAACCTCTGTCTCTCCCTCACTGCCACTCCATGTCCTCACACATACAGCACCTTGGGAACTGGCTGAGTCTTGTGCAGAGTAAGGCTCACACACACTCTTCCCTCCCTCACAGCCATGCTCCCCCTCCACACTTTCACACAGCCCAGCCAATACATTGGCGTCAGGCACATATTGGCACATATTCATTCAACCCTCTCTCCCTAGAATTCTCTTCCTCCACATTGTCACATGACACCTTTAACACCCCTTGGTCAGGCACATGATGTGATACACACTCACGTAATTTCCTCTCCCAGCCAGGCCATCCTTCCATAATCTCACATAGCCACTCACTTTCTCCTTGTTCTGGCACCTGACATACTCCTGACTGAGATACAGGTGAACACATCAACTCATCCTGCCCTGGCTCCCAATGGTTTGATCCACTTGTGTTTTCACATGGCATCTTAAACAACCCTGGCTCTGACACAGATAGGCACACACGCTCATCCAGCCCTGCCTCGCCGTGTAGCTGTTTTTGCCCACTCTCACATGATATTGCAGACACTTCCGGTTCAGGCACAGACCCGCACACATGCTCCGTCTGCCCTCCCTCCCAGCACAACTGTCTACATACATTTTCACAAGTTTCCAGGGACACCCCTGGTTCTGGCACAGATTGACACACATTCTGCCCTCCCTCCCAGCGAAGTTGCCCTGGCAAACTTTCACCTTGTACCACAGACAATTCTGGTTTTGGCACAGCCTGGCACGCATGCTCATTCTGCCCTCCCTCCCAGCAACTTTGTCTTGGCATACTCTCACATGATATTGCAGACACCTCTTGTTCAGACACAGACCCGCACACATGCTTATTCTGCCCTCTCTCCCAGCACAATTGTCTGCATACAATTTTACATACTGCCCTCTGCACAGTAGGGCCCCTATGAGGCTTGGGTTTATAACACACATTACTTTCAGGCACATACTGGGATAACAATCTACCTAAGTCAGTACCAAGTAATACATTTGCAGGGATATTCTCATCTACCCCCACATTTCTGAAACCCTTCCCCGCTCCCCAATCCAAATAAACTTGTGCCATTGGCACTACAAGTCGTACCCCCCCAATTCCTTTAACTGCTAGAGTCCTGCCAGGAATTAACTCCTCAGAGCACACTAGCTGTGGACGCACAAGAGTCACATCTGCCCCAGTGTCCCTGAGTCCCACAGTTACCTCTCTTCCAACTGTTACAGGTTGCAGATTCACGTTGTTGCTGCCCTCTGATCTGGTTACAAACAACACAGAGGACGTTGGTTCTGAGGAGCGTCCCTCCCCAGCTGATGATGCTGGCTGCCGTTTCCCAGGGCAAGCAACACTAATGTGCCCCACTTGGTTGCACATAAAACATCTGCGACTATCTCCTTGCGCAGACATGGCACTAGCTCCCCCTCTCCCTGAGGTAGGAGCTGAAACAAAAGATGGCCCGCTAGCCCGGGTGATGGGGAGTCGTGGTGGTGTGGTCCTCCAGCTGGATGTTCCCTTGGCAAACCCTCTGCTCCGGTCCACTGTTGCTCGATTGGCAGTGTGGAAATCTGCCAGCTTACCCGCTTCCAATGCTGTTTTGGGGTTCCGGTCCAGCAGCCATTCCTGTACATCAGCTGGGCAGAGCTGCAAAAACTGTTCTTTTATTAACAGGTCTTGCAAACTTTCCAAAGTGGTAATCTCCAGCCCTGTAGTCCACTGTCGGAATGCTGTCGCCAGGTGCCCCACAACTGCGGCATAACTTTCTGTGGGATGCTTTTGCAAAGTCCTGAATTTCTTTCGGTACACCTCAGGAGTGAGGTTGTACCGTGCCTGCAAGGCAGCCTTAATTGCATCATAGTCCTGGTCAAATTCTGCTGGAAGCGCAGCAAATGCTTCCAGTGCAGGACCTCTGAGACCAGGCGTGAGGTATTTTGCCCACTGGTCCTTTGGTAGCTGGTACTGCCTGCAAACTTTTTCAACATCCAAATCACCATCTTTGTCCAAAGTTGGAAAATTCTCTGCACGTGGTTTGGGTGCAGAAGAGTCTCTGGAATTAATACTTATAGGGGAGGCAGTCAACCTCTCTAACTCAGCCATTTTTAGCTCATGCTAAATGCTTGTCACTCGGAGGCCTCTCTCTCAGCCTGTCACTCTGCAGCCTCTCTCTCCCTCTCAGCAGCCTCTCTCTCCCTCTCAGCAGCCTCTCTCTCTCAGCCTCCTGATATTGAAGGATAAGCTGTAGTCTTTGGTTTGCATCTGCTGAGTCCACATATTTTAACACCGTTTGTAAGTAACAATCCAAAGGATCTGCAGATCTCGGTACATCACGGACAAAAGCTGCAGGTATCTCCTCTGCAGTGTTTGAGGCATCATTTTGCACTGCTTGTTGCATAGTCCACCAGTGCTTGCAATAGTTCCTCTTTTGTTTTTCCCAGACAGGGAATAGATCTCTCCCGGCAAAGCTGGTCTAGCGCTGCCTTGGATTGTGCCTGGTACTCCATTTGGTAAATAAAAGATAGGAAAGAAAAAACAGAGAAGGGGGGGACTGTTAAGGTGTAAATATATTATATATGCACTGAGTTCAGCCTTTGGAAATTGAGACACAATTTCTTTTAGTGCCTGGATTAACCAACAAATCCAGCAACACTAAAATCTGGTACAAAAAGATGAAAAATCTTTTAGTTATCCCACCGCTATGCCACCAATTTGTCACGAACGCACCCTACTCCAAGAGTGTGCGTGACGTAGTTGTGGTGGTGAAAGGGTTAAAGTTCACTATTTGTCTGCACTAGACCAGAAATAATGACAAAATCCCCCTTTAACACCACCCACACTTAAACATAATAATATAACTATTACTATTTTAACGCT